CGACTGAGCCACTTAGGCCCCCTCATCGTATGGATATCACACATTTGGTTTATCAGTTCATCAGTTGAAAACATCTGGGTTGTTTCCACTTTGGGGTTATTTTTTTAAAAAGATTTTATTTCTTTATTTTTGAGAGAGAGAGAGTGCATGCACTACCAGGAGGAGCACAGGGGGAGGGAAAATCCTAAGCAACTCTGAGCTGAGCACAGAGCCCAACATGGGGCACCACAAACTGAGCCTAAACCAAGAGTTGGACACTCAACCAGCTGTCCCATCCAGTTGCCCCTTTGGCTATTATGAATAGTGTTGCTGTGACCATTCATGCACAGATTTTTGTGTGGACACATTCTTTTTTTTTTTTTTAAAGAATTTATTTATTTATTCATGAGAGACACAGAGACAGAGGCAGAGACATAGGCAGAGGGAGAAGCAGGCTCCCTGCAGGGAACCTGATGTGGGACTCCATCCTGGGACCGTGGGATCACGCCCTGAGCCGAAGGCAGATACTCAACCGCTGAGCCACCCAGGTGTCCCTGTGGACACGTTTTCAATTCTCTTGGGTGTATACATAGGGGTAGGACCACTGGGTCACATGGTAATTCTATGTTTAACCTTTTGAGAAATTGCCAAACTTTCCCAGCACAGCAACACCATTTTGCACCCACCCCCAACAGTGTACAGGGAAGTTTCCAATTTTTCTTTGTCCTCCCCAGCACTTGTTACTGTATATTTGTTCTCACTGTAACCATTCTCATAGGCATGAAGTGCTATCTCATTGAAGTTCTTTCACTGATTTCTGCCAAAATCTTCTATTACTAGCCAACTCATGGTTGCAAGTATCTAGTTGGCATACTTCAGACAAAAAAGGTTACTTGAGGGTCACTTGGGTGGCTCAGTAGTTGAGCCTCTGCCTTCGGCCCAGGGCGTGATCCTGGAGTCCCGGGATCGAGTCCCACGTCGGGCTCCCTGCATGGAGCCTGCTTCTCCCTCTCTCTGTGTCTCTCATGAATAAATAAATAAAATCTTTAAAAAAAAAAAAAAAAGGACAGGATAAACATGAAACAAGCCCTATCTTTCAATGACATGAGTAATTTATTTGTTTTTGAGTACTAGGAGACTTCCTCAATTGGGGCTACAACAGACAAGATATACTTGTTAATTCAATCTATATTACTAACATTTTCTCCTTCACTTCCCTAAGACAAGACAATCAACAGAACAACAAATCAAGCCCTGATTTAGCACGTTTGTGAATTTCCATGATGCAAATACTTCCACCACAGATAATTTCACAAATCCACAATTTCATGGTATTTCCATCATGTAGGTACAATGGTCATAAGTAACCTCACAAGCAGAGATAATCGTAAAATATAGTAAAATACACAGAAGTGATAGTTTAAGTATACATCTTTGCTTTTAATATACTTTCAGTATATATTATTTAGTAACAGCCATTTATTAGAAAAATTCCTGAAAACGGAAACGGCTCTCTTCTCTGAAGGGTTTGAGTACTAGGTGGGTACTAGAACACACACCACACACACTCCATGCGCTGGACCCCATCATTATGCACTGACCCAGTCACCCCAATTCCCTACTGTCTTTTTTCAAAAAAGCATATAGGTTCCACACCACCTTAACCAGGTTACTAGAGATGGTTTATGGAAATGGTGGTCACAAAGTAGTTCAAATATTTATAGTTTTGTACCACGGGGAAGCCAGAAACTTCCTTCCCGCACCCCCCTGGGGTCTGCAGCTAGTTCTGAGAGTTAAATTGATCTGAGACAGATCCACACAAGACAAGCACACAGGTCTCGTGTGTGCACAAGCCCCACAGGGAAATGAAGACCCAGACAGGGCCCACCGGCTTAGACACAGGTTAAACAAAAATAACCAATTATGAAAAAGTAACTGAAATATATGGGAGACTAGAGGAAGCTGAGAATCATTTTAATCAAGGTCTGTTCCTACAGATTTCTTTCAGTTCCTGGTGAAAAGGTTCCTCTCCTCCTGGGAGAGGGAGAGCATCTTTCGCCAGGAGCTTCAGCTCCAGCCTCTTGGAAGAACAGGAGGAGTCAGACCATTCTTCCAGCATCTACTATTTCTCAAAATAACCCTTACGCCAAAGTGACCTGCCTGAGAGTGGCATATTCTGCTCCCCTTCAGCACTAAAGGTAGCCACAGCTTACACTATTAGTTCACACACCTAGAATGGTTTCGTTTTCTTAAATACACTTTTTAAAAATTTATTCATGAGACACAGAGAGAGAGGCAGAGACACAGGCAGAGGGAGAAGCAGGCTCCACGGAGGGAGCCCGATGTGGGACTCGATCCCGGAACCCCAGGATCACAACCTGAGCTGAACACAGACACCCATCCGCTGAGCCACCCAGGCGTCCCTTTTTAAATACATTTATGAGAAAATAGATGAAACCAAACAGAACTTCAAAAATTATCAACATAATGAGCAAAGTTTGTTTCCTATACATTTTCTAGAAGGAAGCAAACATAAGTATATGGTATTAGAAAAATAATATGGGGGCACCTGGGTGGGTCAGTCAGTTAAGTGTCTGCCTTTGGCTCAGGTCATGATCTCAGGGTCCTGGGATTGAGCCCCGCATCAGGCTACCCACTCAATAGAGTCTGCTTCTGCTTCTCCCTCTCCCTCTGCCCCTCCCCCTGCTTGTGCTCTCTTACCACCAAATAATTAAAATCTTTTTTAAAAATTAAAAGAAAAAAATTAAAAGAAAAATAAGGAAAAATATTTTTTAACATATTTGAGAGCAAGAGAGTGTGAGCACACGCACACACGGGAAAGGTCAGCGGGAGAGAAAGAATCTTAAGCAGGCTCTGTGCCCAGCACAGAACCTGATGCAATATTAACAAATTGTGGTCTGTGGCATTGACCTCTTACTCATGCAGATATATATTTATTTTTTAGTAGCTATTTGTAGGAGTTCATTGGAATCCTGCACGTCCTTTCTTTTCTTTTTTTTTTTTTTTTTTTGGCCTGGAGATTCTGTTAATCTTATGCAAGTGCTAAAATGTCACCCTTTTAAAGTAATTGGGATGCTCTGAAGTAACTAGTAGCATTTTAAAAAAAGTTTTCTATGTACATCAAAGTTATTTTTAAAGGTGTTTCAAAAAGGGCAGCCCCGGGTGGCCCAGCAGTTTAGCGCCGCCTTCAGCTCAGGGCCTGTTCCTGGAGACCCAGGATCGAGTCCCACGTCGGGCTCCCTGCATGGAGCCTGCTTCTCCCTCTGCCTGTCTCTGCTTCTGTGTGTGTGCGTCTCTCATGAATAAATAAAATCTTTAAAAAAAAAAAAAGTGTTTCCAAAAAAAAAGTGTTTCCAACCAGCTTGCTCTAATGCTCCCTAAAAGCCATTTAATCAGTGTGAAGATTTATAAAGTACTAATAAAAATTTCTTTAAATCTTATCACTAAATGTTACCATGTAGGGTAGGGACTTAAGTATTACGTTTGACTCCTCCAATCTCCCTTATTATTCATAGTAGGTCCTGTAGTTTTTACTCCAGCAGTGGTTCCTTCTTTTAATCCCCAGATCTACTCTCCTAATTTACAACCACATAATTCTTTGTTTATACTACTAAACCTCAACTCATTATTTCTGTTCTCCAAACTACTCTTCATAGGTCATATCTTCCTAAAACAGTTCTTCCCTCCTGAAAAAGTATTTCTCATTTTCAATTCAATTCTTAGGTATCAACTCCCCTTCCATAATGTGATTCTTCTCTATGCTTCAGTTACTACGTTAGGTAACTCCCACCCCACCAGACAATTGCCTTCTCTGAACTCACTCATTGTGTACTTCTATGTGTTTACCTATCCTCTTGCTCTGAAATCTTTTAATTACTTTTTCTTTTATATTACTCTTTTGCCAACTAAATTAGAATTAATCCCTATTTTCTACTACATAGCTGTAACAAGTTGCACTTCATTCTTATCATAAAATTTTGGATTATTTTGTATGTGTCTTCTTACTGGAATAGGGAGCGATCATATATTACTTTTTTAATTTCTCCACAATACTTAATGTAGTACTTTTTATATAGTAGGAGTTAGGATCACTATTTGTTAGATGAATAATAAAGATTTATAACATAATTTTTCATAAATTGAAAATAAATTACAAATCACTTTATTCCTTCTGATGAATTCACATCACATTGACTATTAGTCATAACGTAATTACTTGATATTTAGAAATCTTATTAGAAATTTTAAAAATTACGGTATTCCTTTTTTGTTCTATTTTGACCTTAGCAACTCATCAACCCATTATTTTGAGCAAAGTACACACACTGTCATACCTCCTATAATACTTGATCCATGTCTGATGCTTTTCTTCCTTTGTATTTTGGTTTCCACTATTACTTAGAATATTTCCATTTGGCATATATAATTCACATTATTTGAATACTAAAAAGTTCTTACTATTGAAAATTAATTATACAAGTTTAGAATCTGAGATGAAAAGTGATGGTTTGTAACTGAACTAGCCTTTTGTGTTTCAGAGTATGGAGGAGTTGGAGAAGAATCATGATAACCTACTTAACTGGTGCACAAAATGAACTTAGAAAAGAAATGGCTATGTTGCAAAAAAAAATTATGATGGAGATTGTAAGTCGTTACATTTTATTTTATTTTATTTTTTTAAGATTTTATTTATTTATTTATAGACACAGAGAGAAAGAGGCAGAGACACAGGCAGAGGGAGAAGCAGGCTCCATGCAGGGAGCCCGATGTGGGACTCGATCCTAGGTCACCAGGATCACACCCCAGGCTGCACCAAACCGCTGCACCAACGGGGCTGCCCAAGTCGTTACATTTTAAATTGGAAAAATGGTGCTCGCTTCGGCAGCACATATACTAAAAATTGGAACGATACAGAGAAGATTAGCATGGCCCCTGCGCAAGGATGACACGCAAATTCGTGAAGCATTCCATATAAAAAAAAAAATTGGAAAAATGAGGAGTAATGCAACCACTGAAATATTTTATTTGGTGAAATATGTATTACACTTATCTAAAAATTAAACAAATGTTTAATATTTCCTTTCATGTAACAGCAGCAGCAAGAGATGGCAAGTGTTCCAAAGTCTCTTCAATCCATGTTATTCTGATGATTCTTTGAAGGAAGAACTTGAACCTAAGTAATATGATACAATTATAATATTAGCTAAGAGGCATGTAATTCTTTTAGAGTGGTTTAAAAATTCTAGTGTAAAATAATAGTGTGTTGTTAGCTTAAGTGCAAGACCCCTCTACTTGTTGACCTTCACATAAAGCTGAACAGTTATGTGAATAGTAACAATTCTTTTTTAATAGAATATCATTCACCTTTTTTTAAAGATTTTATTTATTCATGAGAGACACACACACAGACAGAGAGAGAGAGAGAGAGAGAGAGAGAAAGAAAGAGAGAAAGGCAGAGACACAGGCAGAGGGAGAAGAAGGCTCCATGCAGGGAGCCCGACGCAGGATTTGATCCTGGGTCCCCAGGATCATACATACCCCAGACTGCAGGTGGCGCCAAACGGCTGTGCCACTGGGGCTGCCCTAGTTTCCAGCTTTTTAATAGTAATAGTGTATTTTTCTCTTTAATGCTTGTCAATTAACTTTTGGCAATAAAGAGGATTAAAAAAAAAAAAAAAAGAACCTGATGCAAGGCTTGATCTCATGACCCTAAGATTATGACCTGAGCTGAGCTGAAACCAAGAGTCAGATGCTTAACTGACTGAGCCACCTAGGTGTCCCAATGAAAAATATTTTTATTTTTTTAAAGATTTTATTTATTTATTCATGAGAGAGAGAGAGAAGCAGAGACACAGGCAGAGGGAGAAGCAGGCTCCATGCAGGGAGCCCGATGTGGGACTCGATCTTGGGACTCCAGGATCACACCCTGGGCCAAAGGCAAGGCGCTAAACCGCTGAGCCACCCAGGGATCCCTGAAAAATTTTTTTTAAGAAACATTTCTAAAATTCACTGTACACGGTTTTTGCCGTAAGAACTCTGCCCGATTAGCCCCACTTTCTGAGCAATGCCTGCTAGCAGCTCTGTTGCTTCCTCCAATACTTCTCTGTTATCACCTGCAGACTTTGGGGGGATGATGCTGCTGGAATTACAACTTTCTGTTTCAAGTTAGCTTATCTTATGATTGTTGCCAATAATTTCACTTAGGTCACTTTTTCTCAAAAAAAAAAAAAATACTTAAAAAAAAAAATAAAAATAGGGATCCCTGGGTGGAGCAGCGGTTTGGCGCCTGCCTTTGGCCCAGGGCACGATCCTGGGGACCCGGGATCGAATCCCACGTCGGGCTCCCAGTGCATGGAGCCTGCTTCTCCCTCTGCCTGTGTCTCTGCCTCTCTCTCTCTCTCTCTGTGTGTGTGACTATCATAGATAAATTTTTTTAAAAATCTTTAAAAATCAAATAAAAAAATAAAAATAAAAATAAATAAAAAAGATCACTTTTTCTCACAGCAGCAGATGCAAGAACCTACAGTTGACCAAAGTTAAAAAGAGTCACAAACTGCCCTTTGAGAAGTTCTGCAGATTTGTCCTGGGTTCTGCTGTGGCCCCAGGACACTGAACTCTGGCATCCCCACACTTTAAGGATTCCAACAGCCGCACCCACCTTGCCCCGTGGTGAGAGTTACAGCGCGTGAGCAACAACTCTGTCATGGGCTAGTCTGAGCAGCTCCAGCTGCCCAGGCCGCACCCTCCCTGTCTACTCTGTCCCCACATCCAGAATGCTACTAAGCAATCTCTCCAAAACCCCTGAACTACCCCTAGTCCCCCTTCCCTTAAAACCTTCTTCAGTGATTACTCATTACCCTCGGGAGAGTCTAACCCCTTCCTGTGGTCTGGCAGTCGGGGCCTGCTGGGGCACCAGTCTCTTCTTTTGCCCCCACCCACAGGAGGCTCCTTCAATGACACACCAGCCTGCTTCTTCCTTCCTCAGACTCTGCGTGTGTTCTCGCTGCATCACAGACCACACGTTCCAGGGCACATGTCCACGTGCTCCCAGAGGCTTCTCAAGCACTTGTTCGTGCCTGCTTCTCCCACAGACCGCGAGCCCACGGCAGCACGGATCACGTCTGTCTGTTCTCTGGTCGGCATAAGCACGCGTTGGAGGAATGGTCTTCCCAGTCTTGACCTTTCCTGTGGACTCTGTTTATGTAAGAAATCCACTTAATCTTCAAAAAGCTCAATTTATATGAACTATTTGGTGGAAAGACACCTAACAAACTACAGATGGCAATTATTGATGAACTGGCGTCATAATGTTCAGAAGTGGGATCCCTGGGTGGCTCAGCGGTTTGGCGCCTGCCTTCGGCCCAGGACGTGATCCTGGAGTCCCGGGATCGAGTCCCACGTCGGGCTCCCTGCGTGGAGCCTGCTTCTCCCTCTGCCTGTGTCTCTGCGTCTCTCTCTCTGTGTCTCTCATGAATAAATAAATAAAATCTTAAAAAAAGAAAAAGATGACCTTCTCCTATTAAAAAAAAAAAGAATGTTCAGAAGTTCTGAGCGAGCCAAAGATCATCGCCGTCTAGCGTTCTTTACATTCTGGGTTCCTGAGGATCCTCAACTGCTAGTTCCTGACGAGTTTCTAGATTTTCCAAAGTCTGTACAAAGAAGCAGAACCTTGAAGAGCGTTCTAGAGTAAGACTCAGGAGAGAGGGAACAGGGCGGTGCTGGTGTAGGTGGACAGGGCAGAGCTGCAGGGCATGTGGGAGTCAGACTGACCGGCTGGCTAGGAAGGAAGCAGAGAAGCCTAGCCCAGCCCAGCTGTCCCCTCCGTGTGGCCAGGACTGCTGCAGGTCCCCACCCCACACTGGACTGCTGTGCCCTACACACTGGCTCAGAATGACTTCATTCGGCACTCATTTCTTGCAGATTCAGACATCTTTACATTTAATCCTAGTTCTTCTGAAGTATCTCTCTCACCCAAAGTTGAACACTTCAGAAGAGGCACAGCCAAGGTGGAAAGCTCCAAATGAAGGGCCAGCAAGTCCACAGGAGGGATCAAATTCATCCTTCCCATGTGACAACAGGGCTCTGCCGGCGGAAAGACACCCTAATCTGCTAACCTAAGACCTGAAACTGCTACTCATCATCATCAAATACTGACTTGATACGAGACTGACCTACCTATCCTTTTCAGAAAGCAACAGGATTGCAGGGTTGCAATACATATTTAACATTTTATCCATCATTCTAAAAACCATTTATGATCTCTGCATTTTCTTTTTTTTTTTTTTTTAAAAAAAAAGCCTTTTAATAAATTCTACTTCTCCACAAATTATTTCTGGACTTCTGTCCCAAACCAAACTGGGTTTATACTGGAAGTGAAAGCTTGGTTTAACATCAGAAAAATCCATCAATCCTGATGACAAACGACAAACCCCCAATGTGGTAGTCATTAAAAAAAAAAAAAAGGTGAAATCTGAAAGCCTTTAGTCTTAGAAACTAAAGGTGATTCACACAAAGGGACCCAGTGAGTGGAAACAGCTGGCCAGTCCAGGCTCACTTCCAAGGACTTCCATCCCAGGACGGGGGCTCCTCCCCTACCCCATGCTGTCCCCCAAGGGGACAGACGGCCAGGCTTCACCCTAACTGTGCTTCACCAGTTTTACCATCTTCCTGATCTGTATCCCTGCCTCTTCCTCTTATAGGCTGCCTACCAGGTAACATTTAAGGAGCCATCTCAACAATTCATAGCTTCTCGGAGCGACCCTCACCCACACTGAACAAAGCAAGCTCAGAGGCACCAGGAAAGTTCAGTTACTCTTCCTTATCTGTTGCTTCGTGATGGCTCATGTAATCTGCTTGATGGATGAGCTCTGAAACCAGCTCTTTCAACTATCCTCAGTTCTCCATTATAATCTGAGAGATTTCATCTTAATTGTAGTAGAGGTAGCTCCTCTGCTCTCCCCTATAAATACATGTTCTGTCTTTGCTCATCCAAGAACTGTTATTTAAAAGGGAGGAGAAGAGGCTTGGGGGAGGAAAAAGTCCTTCTGCAAAAGGAAAAATTCCTTTGAGGTTAGAGTAATTACCGTAATTTATGGTTCTTACAGCATCAGCATGTAATGCCTGGTTTGCTCAAAGTGGAATGGCTGTCTCGGAGTGGGACAGGAGGCGGGGGCCGTGTACACAGAACCTAACAGCTCTGCTGGCAGGCAGCCCGACAGTTGTTTCCTCTACACGGAAGAAGGACCGTGCATGTACCTACTTGTCAGACTGAGCTTTCATCACTGTGTCGGGGGGGGGGGGGGGCATTAACCTTCCAGGCTTTTCTCTTCAAGTGCAAACTGCCAGCCAGGCAGCCCCATACTGAACTTCTCCTTGTCCAGCAGTGTAGGCCCAGCCTCATTCTCCATCCCTTCGGCTTTATACCAGGCCCTTGAGCTCTCCTGGCACACTCCCGCTCTGGGCTCCCCCCACCCCAGAAGCCAGGATCTCGAATGGAAGACTTTCCCCTAGGCTCTCCTTCTCAGAAGAGCCTGTGCATAGCACAAAGCTCCTGAGTTAAGGTGTCACACTATCAGCCACTGGGGAAACCAGTGGGCAAAGATGAAAGGAACAAATGTTGGCAAAATTTAGTGCTCCTGCAGGTGTTTTCTGGTCTATCATCCTGACACTTCTGAGATGGGAACCTTCTAGAGGGCTGGAATCCCCAGCCTCCCATTCTAGACAGAGGCTAGACACATCAGCATACCACAGTTAGCACTACATAAGAAGACCAGCACATCAGGACCAAACTGGGTTTATACTGGGAGTGAAAGCTTGGTTTAACATCAGAAAAATCAATCAATCCTGATGGAAGACGACAAACCCCCAATGCAGTAGTCATTTAAAAAAAAAAAAAAAAAAAGGTCAAATCTGAATGCGGTCAAGGCTCTAGATTACAACTGTCAATTTACAGGAAACACACAGATGGGAGAAGCATGTTAAATTACACCGTGGAAAGCAACAGCAAAATTTAGACTGTGGGAAATTCTACAGGACACATCATTCCCCTGCTCCCAAATAAACTGGTTTGAAAAAAGGAAGGGGATGGAGTCAAAACCTGTAGATCAAAAGAGAACTAAAAAAATATCAATCACAATGTATAAACCTTACTTATATCCCAATACAAGCAAACTGTAAAAAGAAAAAAAAACTCAAAATATGATATTTCTAAGATAATTGAAAAATGTGAACACATTTGCTGGAAATAAGGAATTATACTATTTTAGCTATTATGTTTATATGTATTTTAAAAATTCATATATTTTTTAAAAGATTTTATTTATTTATTCATAAGAGACACAGAGAGAGGTATAGACACAGGCAGAGGGAGAAGCAGGCTCCATGCAGGGAGCCTGACATGGGACTCGATCCCGGGCCCCTAGGATCATGCCCCAGGCAGCGCCAAACCACAGAGCCACCCGGGCTGCCCAAAAATTCATATATTTTAAAGATACATATGGGGGATCCCTGGGTGGCGCAGCGGTTTGGCGCCTGCCTTTGGCCCAGGGCGCGATCCTGGAGACCTGGGATCGAATCCCACATCGGGCTTCCGGTGCATGGAGCCTGCTTCTCCCTCTGCCTGTGTCTCTGCCTCTCTCTATCATAAATAAATAAATTAATTAATTAAAAAAAATAAAGATACATATGGATATAGTTACAAATGATATACACTCTGATATTTCCCATAAAATTATTAAGTGGGGGGGTAGCCCCGGTGGTGCAGCGGTTTAGCGCCACCTGTAGCCCAGGGCGTGATCCTGGAGACCCCAGATGGAGTCCCGCATCGGGCTTCCTGCATGGAGCCTGCTTCTCCCTCTGCCTGTGTCTCTGCCTCTCTCTCTCTCTCTCTGAATGAATAAATAAATCTTAAAAAAAAAATTATCAAGTGGGGGGGATCCCTGGGTGGCTCAGTGGTTTAGCGCCTGCCTCCCGCCCAGGGTGTGATCCTGGGGTCTCAGGGTCCAGTCCCACATTGGGATCCCTGCAGGGAGCCTGCTCCTCCCTCTGCCTGTGTCTCTGCCTCTCTGTGTCTCTCATGAATAAATAAATAAATCTTTTTAAAAAAATTATCAAGTGGGGGGAATGGGATAAAGTGGATAACTATACAAGCAGGGTACTGGATACACAGCAATTCTTATTCTTCTATCTTTGCAGGTTTTAAATTTCCCACAAGTAACATGAAAAGAAATGGGTGCAATTGCCCACATTAACAGAGTAAGGGGAAGCCCTGTGAATTGCTTTACTTGATGAAAAAGCACCTGGGGACATAAGACCACCAGACTGAGAGGGAGAACAGCGGCCATTAGCCCTGACTCTGCTGAGTAACGCCAGGCCAGTCCACCATCTCTCTGGGCCCTGGTCTCCAGAATGGCGTTGTTTTTTATAAAGATTTTATTTATTTATTCATAAGAGACACACAGAGAGAGGCAGAGGGAGAAGCAAGCTCCTCACATGGAGCCCAATGCAGGACTTGATCCCCGGACTGGGATCATGCTGAGCCAAAGGCAGATGTTCAACTGCTGAACCACCCAGGCGTCTTTTTTAAGATTTTATTTATTTATTCATGACAGACACACACAGAGAGAGAGAGAGAGAGAGAGGCAGAGACACAGGCAGAGAGAAGCAGGGAGCCCGATGCAGGACTCGATCTGGGGTCTCCAGGATCACGCCCTGGGCTACAGGCGGCACTAAACCGCTGCGCCACCGGGGCACCCCTCCAGGATGGAGTTTAACCACATGATTTTTTTTTTTTTTTAGATTTATTTATTTGAGATGGGGGGAGGGGTGGGGGGGGAAGGCAAACTCCCCACTGAGCCCGGAGCCCCACAGGACATGGGGCTCAATCCCAGGGCCCTGAGATCATGACCTGAGCCAAAATCAAGAGTCAGATAGAAGATTAATGTCTCTAAACACACGATTCTGAAGTCCTCTGCTCCAGCTTTATTTTTTTTTTATTTTTATTTTTTATTTATTTCTGATAGTCACAGAGAGAGAGAGAGAGAGAGAGAGGCAGAGACACAGGCAGAGGGAGAAGCAGGCTCCATGCACCGGGAGACTGACGTGGGATTCGATCCCGGGTCTCCAGGATCGCGCCCTGGGCCAAAGGCAGGCGCCAAACCGCTGCGCCACCCAGGGATCCCCCCAGCAAACTTATTGAAAGCCTTTTAGACACTAGAAATACCCAGATTTTAATTTTAAAATCCTCTGACAGGGGCAGCCCTGGTGGCACAGCGGTTTAGCACCGCCTGCGGCCCGGGGTGTGATCCTAGGGACCTGGGATCGAGTCCCACATCAGGCTCCTTGCATGGAGCCTGCTTCTCCCTCTGCCTGTGTCTCTGCCTCTGCCTCTGTCTCTCTCTCTCTCTCTCTGTGTTTCTCATAAATAAATAAATAAATAAATAAATAAATAAATAAATAAATAAATAAAATCTTTAAAAAAAATAAAAATAAATAAAATCCTCTGACAAGACCTCTTACCAGTTTGTCATTTCTCTGGCATTTAACTTCCTACTTAGGTTTACTCTGAATCTGTACTTGTGTAGTAGTGGGGGTGTTTGAAGACCATTCCCTTAAATGAAAATATAAGCAAAATATAGGATCCGCTATTTATCTATAAATTTTGCCTCTCCGTGTTGAGAGCATGTTTGGTTCTTTTTTGATCCAAAAATTACTAAAAGAAAAATCTTACTTCTTTATCCTCTAGATACAGGAACTATAACATAGATACTCCTCTGTGCAAGCACTGTGATCTTGAGGAAATTCTTCAGTCTTACGTTAAGTTTTCTCATCTGTAAAATGGGAATGATGAAAGCATCTACTTCATAGATTTGCAAAAATAAATTAAAATATGCAAAGCTCTTAAAACAGGGCATGCCGGGGATCCCTGGGTAGCTCAGGGGCTGAGTGTCTGCCGTCAGCTCAGGGGCATGGTCCTGGGGTCCCAGGATTGAGTCCCAAATTGGGCTCCCCACCGGGAGTCTGGTCCTCCCTCTCCCTGTGTCTCTGCCTTCCTGTCTGTGTCTCTCATGAATAAATAAATACAATCTTAAAAATAATAATTACCTGGGGAACCAGCCACATACTCAGCAAACACTGAAAGATAAAACCAAACCCATGGGAAACACAAATTACCCTGAAGTAAGAACTGTTCCTTTGAGTTCCATATACTATCTAGCGTAATGGGACACACATCCTAAAAACAAGCAAACAACAGCACAAGTCATAATACTAGAACAGGACAAGGTCTGCCCCATGGGCCAGCTGCTCCACTTTTCAGCATCATCACAATCAACACCATCAGAGGTTTAGACAGACAACAGGTGAGCAGCACCAGCTTCCTAGTCACTTGGGACAATAGGAAGAAAGGTCTCATCTTGAGGTAAGATTTATTCTAACCGGGGATCCCTGGGTGGCTCAGCGGTTTGGCGCCTGCCTTCTGCCCAGGGCGTGATCCTGGAGTCCCGGGATTGAGTCCCACATCGGGCTTCCTGCATGGAGCCTGCTTCTCCTCTGTCTGTGTCTCTGCCTCTGTGTGTGTGTCTCATGAATAAATAAATAAAATCTTCAAAAAAAAAAAAAAGATTTATTCTAACCAAAAGCTGTGACAATAAAGAAAACCGTGTTTGGGTGTTCTTTTCTTTCTTTATTATTATTTTTTTTTTAATTTTTTTTAACTTTTATTTATTTATGATAGTCACACAGAGAGAGAGAGAGAGGCAGAGAGAGAAGCAGGCTCCATGCACCGGGAGCCCGATATGGGATTCGATCCCGGGTCTCCAGGATCGCGCCCTGGGCCAAAGGCAGGCGCCAAACCGCTGCGCCACCCAGGGATCCCTCTTTATTATTATTTTTTTTAATCGAGAGTCACGCGCTCCTCCCACAACGGAGCCAGCCAGGTGCCCCTTGCCAGGTGTTCTTTTATCCAGCGCTAGTTCACGAAATAAGCCACGGGTAAGTGGACGGTTGCTGAGGTGAACTTTGCCCTCCCAGACCGTTTTCAGGTACACGTTGAATATCTTCCTGCCCTAAGACTGAGACACTGGACGGGTTTCTAAGTTGTAGGAATAGAAGTCACAGTTGTGGCCACTGTCACAGGAACTAGGCCAGAGGCGGAGGCGGGGGGTGGGGGGGGTGGGGGGGTGTTGACCAGCTGCCCCGCCAACTTCCTGTCCAAACTATAAACTAAACAGAGGGCAGCCCGGGGTGGCCCAGCCGTTAAGCACCTGCCTTCAGCCCGGGGCGTGACCTTGGAGACCCGGGATCGATCCCGCGTCGGGCTCCCTGCACGGAGCCTGCTTCTCCCTCTGCCTGGGTCTCTGCCCCTCTCTGTGTGTCTCTCGTGAATACATGAATACAATCTTAAAAAAAAATAAAAATAAACCATAAACTAAACAGAACTTCAAAACTACATTTGCAAAAAGCATGCCAACAGCAAAAGACTAACACGGACGCAAATTTACAGGCAGGCACATTTTGGAACTCCTGCTCTTTTACCCCAGGCTTTCCAGCCTCCACCCTTAGCCTGTTGGCAAATTCCGTGTTTGTGTGCGTAGGCTTCGTTTAAGTATTTCGTCCGCAGCCCCACACTTCCACGTGACAGCTGGAACCAAGGCCCTGGCACTCCGTGGACGAAACACCCTTCCCCAAAGAAGTGCAATTCCTAAAAACGGTCCTTCTTCGTTGCTACAGGTATTCACCGCGAACCTTGCACCCGCGCCTCGCACCTAGGCGCGCAGTTCTCCAAACCAAAGCTACGCCACGGCGGCCCTGCAAGACTCGAGGCTCGGGTGCGCGGTCGCTGGCGGAAGAGCGCCCGGAGCCACGGCGCGGGCCGAGACCCCGCGTGCACGCCAAGCGCTGCAGCCCAAGGCCCGCGCTCGGGACGTCCCCGGCGCGGCGGCCCCGGCACAGACGCGGGCTCCGAGGCCGCCGCCCCCCCCCCGCCCCCCCCGCACCGCGGCCCGGGAGCTGGGCGGACGCCGCGGCCGGCCTCGACGGGGCGCGGAGCCCGGCCCGCCGCCTGCAGGACCCCCAGCTTACCCGGCTCGCCGCCGCCTCCCTGCGCTCCGCGCCGCGCTCGGGGCCGAGCGGACAGCCGGGGCGAGCGAAGGCGCGGCACAGCGGCGGCAGAAGCGCCCTCCTCGAGGCCCGGAAGCCCACCATGGCCAGCGTCCCCCGGCTGCCGCGACGCACGGCAGAGCCGCGCCGGCGTGAGGGGGGCTGCCTTACGGCACGGTCGCAAAGCCAGCGGGAGCGAGCGGCGCGGCCGACCGTGCGCTTTCCCCGCGGCTCCGCAGGCCGCTCCGGGCTGCCGTGCCGGGCGGTGGTGGCGGCGCGCGCCGCAGGACGTTTTCCCAGGGCGGGGGCTGTTCGGCCCGGGGCGGGGCCGCGGAGCGGGCGACGGCGACCGCGGCGGAGTCCTGCGCGTCGGCGGCGGGGCGCGCGATGGCGCGGGCGGCACAGGTGAGCGCAGCTAGGCGGCTGGCGGGCCGCGGGCCTCCCCGTGCGCGCCCCCCGCTCCCGCTCCCGCCGGGCCTGGGCCTCGGCCTCCGCGCCGCTCCCCGCCCGCGTGCGACGCGGCCCGGCCCCCGGGGGGCTCGGAGGCCCTGCGAGCGCGGCCGCCCCCTCCCCGCGCGGGCCATTGTGAGGTCAGGGCCGGCGGGCGCGTCGGGGGCCCGGGCGACACGCCCGGAGCGGCGGCTGCGGCCAGTAGCTGCCGCGCCACCGCCGGCCCCCTCACCGGCCGCCCGGGCACACCCAGCCGGCAGGGGGGAGAGGGATGCAGCTGGGGGCCCCGCTCCGGTGCCGCACCCCGTAAAGGGCTGACCTTCCACCTCGCCAGCCCCGCCGCGGGCAGCCAGGACCAGCCCAGCTTAGACCTCCTCTGGGTAAAGCGCTGGCAGGGCAGGGCGAGGGGGTGGAGGCCGGGGCCCCGCCGGCCGCCCGCCCTCCCTCCCCCGAGAGCGGGGCGACGGGCCTAGGGAGGCACCAGCCCTCCGGAGGCCAGGCTGGTGCCTTTAACACGGTGCCCGTCACCCTTCCCTTCCTGGGGCATCTTCGCCTTCGCGCGGAGGGTCTTCGACGTCCGCGGAGGGGCCGGGGAGAAGCCCTGAGCGGCGGGGAGGAAGTAGAAGCGGGCCTGGGGGTCGCTGGGATCCGCTGCTGTTTGTTTCACTTAGACTTCCGGGCTTTGTTTTTTTTTTTTTTTTTTGAGATTTTATTCATCTATTCATGAGAGATACAGAGAGAGAGGGAGGGAGAAGCAGGCTCCACGCAGGGAGCCCGATGCCGGTCTCCAGGGTCACGCCCTGGGCCCAGGCAGGTGCTAAACCGCTGAGCCCCCGGGTGCCCTCCAGTTTGTTTTGAAAGCAGGCATAGCTCTCGGGCCAGGTGGGTGCCGGGATGGCACTGTTAGCGCTTGAAGGTTAAAAGAGCAACTGTTGCATGTTCCACAGGGGTGCCCTGCTGTTGCCGACAACCAGGGTCCAGCGTTAATACCTGAGATCCTTGTGCTGTCTCCACCCCAGTAGTGGACCCCGTGCCACACGTGTAGAGACCCAGGCGAGGAAGCTGGGAAATCAGGCCCAGGGCTCCAGCTCGTTCCGCACTGCAGTAACCCCTGTCCATTCCTAATCACAGGGGAGTGTAGGTGATCTTCAGGAAAGTGGATTACTCTTTCCGTACTTGAGTATGACTGCTGTTTATTTTTTTTTAATTTTTATTTATTTATGATAGTCACAGAGAGAGAGAGAGGCAGAGACACAGGCAGAGGGAGAAGCAGGCTCCATGCAGGGAGCCCAACATGGGACTCAATCCCAGGACTCGAGGATCACACCCCAGGCTGCAGGCAGCACTAAACTGCTGCACCTTCAGGACTGCCCGTTTTTGTTTTGTTTTCTTTTGTTTTAAGGTTTTATTTATTCACAAGAGACACAGAGAGAGGCCGAGACACAGGCAGAGGGAGAAGCAGGCTCCATGGAGGGAGCCCATTGTGGGACTCGATCCCAGGACCCTGGGATCACCCCCTGAGCTGAAGGCGGTGCTAAACCACTCAGTCACCCGGGCGTCCCTCAAATACCTCTTCTTAAAATGAGAATTTCAGAATGAATCAATATTCGCTTACCTGTCTGTAGAGTCTTTGTGTAATTTGGCATTCTTGTCATTTTTTAGTGCTTGTAAAACGGAACACAACAAAAGTATGGATATGGGAAACCAACATCCTTCTATTAGTAGGCTTCAGGAAATCCAAAAGGAAGTAAAAAGTATAGAACAGCAAGTAATTGGCTTCAGTGGTCTGTCAGATGACAAGAATTACAAGAAACTGGAGAGGATTCTAACGAAACAACTCTTTGAAATAGACTCTGTGGATACTGAAGGAAAAGGAGATATTCAGCAAGCGAGGAAGAGGGCAGCCCAGGAGACGGAGCGTCTTCTCAAAGAGCTGGAGCAGAATGCAAACCACCCACACCGGATCGAAATACAGAACATCTTTAAAGAAGCCCAGGCCCTGGTGAAAGAGAAGATTGTGCCGTTTTATAGTGGGGGCAACTGTGTAACTGACGAATTCGAAGAAGGCATCCAGGATATCATTCTGAGGCTGACACATGTCAAAACCGGGGGAAGATTTCTCTGCGGAAAGCACGGTACCACACCTTAACCAAAATCTGTGCGGTGCAGGAGATCATCGAAGACTGCGTGAAAAAGCAGCCTTCTCTGCCACTTTCCGAGGACGCGCACCCTTCAGTGGCCAAGATCAACTCGGTGATGTGTGAGGTGAACAAGGCCAGAGGCACTCTGATCGCACTTCTGATGGGGGTGAACAATAATGAGACTTGCAGGCACTTATCTTGTGTGCTGTCGGGGCTGATTGCAGATCTGGATGCTCTAGACGTGTGCGGGCGAACGGAAATCAGAAATTATCGGCGCGAGGTAGTGGAAGATATCAACCAATTACTGAAATATTTGGATTTGGAAGAGGAAGCAGATACTACACATGCATTTGACCTGGGACAGAATCGTTCCATTTTAAAAATAGAAAAGGTCCTCAAGAGAATGAGAGAAATAAAAAATGAACTTCTGCAAGCACAAAATCCTGCTGAATTGTACCTGAGCTCCAAAACAGAATTGCAGGGTTTGATTGGACAGTTGGATGAGGTCAGTCTTGAGAAGAACCCTTGCATCCGGGAAGCTCGGAGAAGAGCGGTGATTGAGGTACAAACCCTTATAACTTACATTGACTTGAAGGAGGCCCTGGAGAAGAGGAAGTCGTTTGCTAGTGAGGAGCACCCGTCACATAAAGCGGTCTGGAACATCCTTGGAAACTTGTCCGAGATCCAGGGGGAAGTTCTTTCATTTGATGGGAACCGAACTGATAAGAACTACATCCGGCTGGAAGAGCTGCTCACCAAGCAGCTGCTGGCCCTGGATGCCGTGGACCCGCAAGGGGAAGAGAAGTGCAAGGCTGCCAGGAAACAGGCAGTGAAGCTCGCCCAGAACATCCTCAGCTATCTCGACTTGAAATCCGACGAATGGGAGTACTAAATAGTACCGATCTCACGGTTGATATTTCTTGTTTTGCACTTTATATATACTTCTATGTATTTATAGAGAGCTTTCAGTTCATTGAGCCTAAATGTGATTTATACATGCAGATTTCATTCTCCGTTTTTATGATTTAAGCAAATTATATACAGTATCTCTGCTGCTTTTGATGTTGCAAAACAAATGTCATTACAGCACGTTAACTTTTCCATTTGGATCATTATCTGTATGTTGTGGTGTGGTTTTTTGGTCCTTTTTTTTTTTTTTTTCCAATCAGAAAGTGGAACGGGCATCTTTTGTCATTTTTAAATGGGTTGTGCCAGCATTGAAATGTGGATCTTTCAGGATCTAGACACACACACAACCTGACAGAGCACTAGAACAATTATGAGAAGAGGGGAAATTTTGGTTAGGTAGAAGTAAGGTCCAAACACAAAAGCAATACAATGATATGATTTATTATGCTAAATAAAGCAGAAGGGTGTTTTTGTTTTTTTTTTCTTCATTTTTAAGGCCCGATTGGTCCAACCCAAGTTAATCGGGTGGGGGTTTTTTTGTTTTCGGATTTTCTGTTTTTTCATAAAGATTTTTTTGTTTGGAAAATGGTGTCTGTATTTCCCCCCTACACTCTGCATTTAGAGGGGAAAATCTTATTTTCATGTGCAACGTAAGAAAATTATGAAAATTAATAGCAAAAAAACCTTTGAGACTGCATTGAAGAAAGATGAAAACAGCAGCTAATTACCTTCCAAGTTTTTGTTTGTAAACTCAGTTTACAATTTTCTGTAGTCATCAGTAAGGATGGGAACATTTTAGTGAAGTTAGGAGAACTTTAAAAAAAAAAAAAGAAAAAAAAAGAAAAAAGAAACAGCCATACCTGTGGCAAGATAAAACTGGAGATTAGTTACCGCTATCAGGTTGTCCTGAGCGAATGCGTCTGAATGTAGGAGGCAACAGGCTGCCTCTCTTGTTCAAGGGTCTTTTAAACAGCAAGGGCTGTTTGGTAGTGGCTGAGAGCAGAAACCGCCAATAGCTCTGCGGGACCAGAGCGTCGTGGCTTACCCGGGGAGGTCGGCTGCTCCTAGCATCTGAAAACCTCGCACTCTGGGACTGAGCTCACTTCATTGGCACACGGATGTTTCTCTAGCACCTGAAAGAGTCAGGAAGGTCTGTCCCTGCAGGAAGTGTTTTTTCACTTGCTAAAGGGTACATCTATTTCTCTAAATGCTTTCTGAGGGTCCAAGTTTTATGGCTGCCAGTTTATGGGAACAGAATTTCCCAAAGTTCCAAAGTGCCTTGATAACACATTGGTCCCAGTATGATAACGAACAGACGACACTTTCTGTTGTCACCTTTCACAAAATAATCCTTTTAGAGTATGTCTTTCGGACTCCGCAGCAGTCTGTAATTTCCTTTCAAAGATCGTGATTTGGTAACTGTAGGCAGCTAGAAATAAAAGATAAGGGAATAGCCCCATGTACCAGAGAGATGATAAAAGCGTGGCTCTAAAGAGATTTTCACTTTGTCTCAGCTTTGCCCAATAATTAAAAGCCCTTGATGTGTCTTTCCTACTAGCAATGTTCTAGTACAATTCAGTGGGTAGTGAAGTCCAAGGGCATTTGTGTCTTTGGGCCTTGACCCTTTCCCGCGTGCACATCCAGCCCTTGGCAACTGGAGATTCTTAGTGCAGGTCACTGGCAGCTCATTTTGGGCTAAGTATCCTCATCTTTGGGTGCTCTTAAAATCCTGGAGTTTCTATATTCAAGTGCTGCCTCAGTTTACCCCACTGGGAAGGCAAGGCTTTCCTCCCAAGCTTGTCAGGCATGTCCTGCCCCAGGCTCTACTTCATTTTCAATGTCAGATTTGAAAGTTAAATGTCAGCATTTCCTTTAAAAGTATCCATTGTTTTTCCAAAAGGGACCTTCCCATATGGTTCATTTTCAAACAAGGCTTTCTGCGATCCTAGAGAAGGCTCGTGCAGCTGAGCTCGGCCCGGAGCCTGGCCTGTGAGCGGAGGGAAGTCTCATGAGCCATCGCAGACTTCTCCTGTGGGTTATGTTGGTCATGGAGATGATCAGATCATCCTTGAGTGACCCGAGGCATGACGTTTCCTGTCCAACCTGTTGTTCCTTGCACCGGGTGACTCTCCCATAAGGAACCCTAGTGACACCGGGTTTAGCTTTCCTTGTCCCTCGTTGGGAGCTGTGTTAATAGGGGCTGCCTGCCGCATGTAACTTTAAGTTGGGCTCATGACATTGTATTGTATTTTTATGATCTTACGTAAAGAGAACCTGTAATGGAAGTAAAACCTACCCCCAAAAAAATGTTTGGCCTTGGGTCTGCATTAAACGGTGTAATCCATGTTCATGCAAAAACTGGCTGGGAATGTTTGCTTTCTTTACCTCACATGCAGACAGCTTTGCTTTCAGGTCAGTCTTTACCCAAATTAGACTAAAGTCCATCGACCTATAGAGAAGCAGTTATGAAAATAAATGTAATGAATAAGTCTACTAAGTACAGTGGGATGCTTTATTTTGCTACGATGCCTTGGTGTAGCGTATCTGATACAGGTCAGCACTGCGAGACGCTTAACCAGTGTTTCTCATTTGTTTTTGCCAATTTTTATCTGTTTTTTGAAGGTCAAAGCTTATCTTGTACATATAGGTTGTTTTTAAGCAAAGCTTTTCAGCTTTTAACGCGTCTAGTATTTTTCTAAGAGTAACTAGAGAAGTGTTTGCCATTGATTTTGATGTACAATACAGATGTGTTACCCCAGCGTGTTGGCTCCTGTCCCCCCTCTATTCATTGTATGACTATTGTAATCGTATGTCTGAAGTAATTCAGTATTTTGAGATATTAGTATACCCTTAATTATTAATGCAATAAAAATCTCTTAGCTTATCTTTGCAGCGGAGAAAGAATGTGAGTCTGAGGTGTGAGTTCTGTTCTGATTCACCTTCATTTACTGTCCGACCCGGGTAAGGAATAATGTCTTGGCAAAGTGGGCCAGGCTTGGGGAAGGCGGGCTCCCCAGGTCCAGTTGGTGGCAGTGGGGGAGGGAGGCAGCAGCCCTGAGCACAGACCAGGGTCCTGTGGCAGGTGAAGGGGTCACCGTTCCATGTGAGCAACCCCTGAAGTGTGGGCAGCAGGGAACAGCCCAGGGGAGGCCTGGCCTCTCGCTGCGCCCATGCAGCCGGGCGCACAGGGGTTGACCTCACTGTAGAGAAGCAGGGAAAGTCTGGCAAGAACTGCCCCCCGCCCCCCCACCACCAAGGCTTCACTTAAGATTGCCATTGACGCTTGCCTTCTCATTAGCAGAGAGTTGGTATTTCTGACCCGTTAGTCCTTGGGGGCCCCCTAAGCCCCTGCCGCCTCCCTGTTCCGCCCCCACTCACCTGGGGCAGTTTCCTGCCTGTTGCACGCCTGTTACATGAAAGCAGCGCCTTGCTTGCGCTGCTTCTAGCCTTGTTCGAGCACGTTTCTGCCGTCTTGTCTCTTCTTGCGGAGGTCTTCGCGGTGATCACCCAGAGGCGGGGGCGGCCCGCTCAGCCCCGCAGACGTGTCCTAGGCCCCGCAGTGAAGGGAAACTGTACAGGTTAAAAAAAAAAAAAAAAAAAAAAAAAACTTTGGGGGAAATTTTGAATAAATCCTGTGCCACACACACAGATGCTCCATATACCACATTAGGCGTTGATTCCCTGAGGACACTGGAACTGGTGTTGGGAAGCTCCTGCCGCGTCCTTAACCCGTCACAGCGCGTCGCAGCCTGCTCACAGTGGTAAGGGACCTGCTGCGTCGGGCCCCTGCGATCTGGCTCTGGGCGTCAGGAGCAGGGCAGGTGTCGGCCGCGGACCAGAGGGCTGGGGAGGCTGAGGGAGGGGGCTCGGGGCCCTGAAGGCCCAGGACGGAGGAACCCCAGGGTGGGCTGGCGCGAGGCCCTGGTGTGCACAGGTGCCAGCGGGAGCATCAGCGAGGCCCAGATCAGGTGCCCGGATGCAAGTCTGAGGTCACCCAGGCAGTCAGGATGTGTCTGATGGTGGCTCCTGTGGCTTCTGTGATTTATTTAGGGAGTTTAAAGATTGATTTGAGCGAGTGTGCACATGTGCCAGCAGGCGGAGGGGCGGAGGGAGGACCTTTCAAGCTGACTCCCCACTGAGCTCGCTCAAGACCCCAGCTGAGGGGCGCCTGGGGGCTCAGCTGGCAAAGCCCGTGAAGCATCTGCCTTTGGCTCAGGTGATCCTGGGGCGCTGGGATGGATCCCCGCATCGGGCTCCCCGCTCAGGAGAGAGCCTGTGTCTCCCGCTCCGTCTCCTGTTTGTGCTTGCGTGCGCTGCCTCAAATAAATCAAATTTTAAAACAGACCTGAGCTGAGACCCAAGAGTCGGACGCTCAGCCAGATGATGAGCCACCCAGGCGCCGTCACTCCTGCTCTGATGTCAAGGCCTCATTTTCCCGACATCACCCACTGAACCTGGGCCCAGGCCCTGTGTGAAGCCCTTCACACGCACACGTCATTCTCAGAAGCGCTCCAAGGCAGGTTTTAGTAGTCCGTGTCCTGAATGATCTGGACCCTTGGGTGATCTCTTGCCCAAGGAACCGCCCTGGTATCAGGGCCGGTAGGAAAGCCAGACACTGTGGGCGACAGCGCCCACTCAGCTCCCACCCCACTTTACCTGGCGAGCAGGTCCTCCCTGCAGGGCCCCGGGGCGCAGTGTGTGCGCAGCAGGGAGCTCTCGCTGGGCCACCCTGGGGAGCAGTTGGGACCTCAGGCCGCTGCCCAGCTTCAGTTTCTCCCCACGACGGGGGTCCTTAGCACCAAAGGTTGGGGACTCCTCTGGCTAATGCATGCCACACTCCAAACGTCAATAAACCTTGCATCCTTTTTTAAGATTTTATTTTGTTTTTGAAAGGTTTTATTTATTTATTCATGAGAGACACAGAGAGAGAGAGAGGCAGAGACACAGGCAGAGGGAGAAGCAGGCTCCGTGCCAGGAGCCCGACGTGGAACTCGATTCTGGGACCCCAGGATCACGCCCTGGGCCGAAGGCAGGTGCTAAACTGCTGAGCCACCTGGGCTGCCCAAGATTTATTTTTAAGTAATCTCTGCCCCCAACATGGGGCTCAAACTATAACCCCAAGATCAAGAGTGGTGTTGTACCGACTGAGCCCGCCAGGCTCCCCTTGACCCTGCATCCCCTTTAGTGGGAAGACTTCATAAGAAATACTGTCTTTTTTCTTTTTTTTTTTTTTTTTAAGAAATATTGTCTTAAACCAGCATCTTATTCTGTCCTCAAGTCTCTAAATTGTGAATTATAGGGGCACCCAGGTGGCTCAGTGGTTTAGGCCACCTTCGGCTCAGGGCATGATCCTGGGATCCTGGGATTGAGTCCCACGTCGGGCTCCCTGCATGGAGCCTGCTTCTTCCTCTCCTGTGTCTCTGCCTCTCTCTCTGCCTCTCTCTGTATCTCTCATGAATAAATAAATAAAATCTTTTTTTTAAAATAATAAATTGTGAATTATACCTGGAAAAATATGTCCTTCCTACTTATCCTCAAAGTGAAGTTAATATTTCTCTTTGGGGATCCCTGGGTGGCTCAGAGGTTTAGCGCCTGCCTTCAGCCCAGGGTGTGATCCTGAAGTTCCAGGATCAGGTCCCACGTCGGGCTCCCTGCATGGAGCCTGTTTCTCCCTCTGCCTGTGTCTCTGCCTGTCTGTCTTTCTGTGTCTCATGAATAGATAAAATCTTTTAAAAATATATGTATATATTTCTTTTCGGATCCATAGACTTTCCTGAGCTGCCAGGAGGCTGTGGCTTCCAGTAAGAGGAGAGCTACCTGCCTCACATTGCCTCCACGTCTTGTCTGCACTCTGTGGTCACAGCACAGGCAGGCCCATTTCATTTCTACAATAATCTTTTTTTTTAAAGACTTTATTTATTTATTCATGAGAGACACAGAGAGAGGCAGGCTCCATGCAGGAAGCCCAATGTTGGACTTGATCCCGGGACCCCAGGATCACGCCCTGAGCTGAAGGCAGACACTCAACCACTGAGCCACCCAGGCGTCCCTACAATAATCCTTTAAACTCGTGCCACTTCAGAGCACCCGGGTGGTGTAGTTGGTTAAGCATCTGACTCTTTTTTTTTTTTTTAAGATTTTATTTATTTATTCATGAGAGACACAAAGAGGCAGAGAGGCTCCATGCAGGGAGCCCGATGCGAGACTCGATCCCACAAGCCCGGGATCACGCCCTGAGCCAAAGGCAGGGGCTAAACCGCTGCACCACCCAGGGATCCCCCAAGCATCTGACTCTTGATTTTGGCTCAGGTTATATCTCAGGGTCGTGGGCTCGAGCCCTACATCGGGCTCCACATTCAGCAGGGAGTTCTCTGGGGTTCTTTCCCTCCCCTCTGGTCACACTCTGTGTCAAATAAAATCTTTAAACTCTTGAGCCATTTCCCTGTCACCGGTTTCCCAAGTGAACCTGGCCAGCCCTCATGCTGATGTGAGTGTCCCGGTCCAGGTCCTCCAGGGGCCCAGGACGCAGAGCAGGATGAGCCTGTCACCTTCCTACCTGGACAGACAGTGGGCGTGGCCTCTGCACCTGCCCTTCCTCCCGTAGCTCCCTGGTCTCCGGCTCACTCACCCTGCGCCAGGCCACCCCACACTGCTTTCCACACTTGCCATGTCCTTTCGATGAACTCTTCTCGAGAAGTAGTGTCCTCAGCTCCTGGTGCGTAATACATATCCAAGAACCTGCTGAATAAATGAGTGGGAAGTCTCAGATTTCGAATAGCTTCCTGAAGTGTTCAAATCAGCTGCCTCGGGGCCCCTGGCCCCTGACCCTGGCTCAGTCAGTAGGGCATGCAATTCTTGTTGAGTCATGAGTTGAAAGCCCATGTCAGGCATGGGGCCTACTTTAAATTTAAAAAGAGATAAGATTTTGGAAAGATAAAATCTTATTTTTTAAGATTTTATTTATTCATGAGAGACAGAGAGAGAGAGAGAAAGAGAGAGAGAGAGACAGAGAGAGGCAGAGACACAGGCAGAGGGAGAAGCCGGCTCCATGCAGGGAGCCCGATGCGGACACCGCTGAGCCACCCAGGGATCCCAGATAAAATCTTAAATAAAAATAAAATCAGCTGCTTTTTTGCTTGTCGGTATTCAGAGGACTTTGGTTTAGGGCACCTGCCCTAGAGTCCTGGTGTCACTGTCAGGAGCTCCCCATTTGGCGCAGCCCACTCCTCCCCTCGGGCAGGAGCAGGAGCAGGAGCAGCCCAGACCAAGGCCCAGGCGGTGAGGGCAGCGGCCAGGCTGCTGGGGTGCCACCCCCGCCCCGGCCAACTGCCCCCAGCTGAGCGTGTACCCCGCTGAGGAGCCGAAGGGACGCCGGCAGCCCTGACACGGCGGAGCCCCGGGTCCCCACCGTGGCTCCTCGGTGCTGTCGTCTTCCTGGCCAGGTCCAGGGCTGCACAGCGAGGTGCCCACGGCCCAGCGTGCCAGGCAGAGGCACGAACTGCTCCACAGCTCAGGGTGGGTGGAAACGGGTGTGGAGGGTCCTGCCAGGAGCCCTGAGGTCGGGGTGCAGGCCCCCCTTCTCCCTCTCCACCTTGGGTGGCTCTGCTTCCCTGGGGAGGGCGGAGATGAGGACCCTCCGGTCCCGGGCCTGGTCACCGGCACACCTGCCCCCGCCAGGGCCCTGCAGGAAGGCTGGGCGGCGGCACCCACGCGGGGCGGGCGGGCGCGGGAAGGCACAGCTGCGGGCCGAGGAGCGGGCCCAGCCCGCGGGCTCAGGGGAGGGCCACAGCCCCACGGCGCAGCATCGGTCCCCAGGTCCCCACCCAGCCCCTGAGCTCCTGACACCGGGTTCGTCCTGGCCGTGTCCTTGGGACCTAGAGCAGCCCTGGCTCGGCCAGTAGGCGCTTGCTGGGGGAACGGACAGACAGAAGGACGGGTAACCTCCTGGGGCAGGGAGGCCCGTGGGCGCCTGTCCTGCGGGGCCTGAGGGTCGGCCGCGCACCCCAGGAGCAGCCCACGTCCGGGGAGGAGGCAGCCAAGGATCACGGCGCACCCAGCTCAGGGGCAGGGTGCCGTGCGCCCTGGTGGGTGACCCCCCGGAGTGGGGAGGCCTCCCAGGTGAGGGAGCAGCGGGCCTGGAGGCCCAGAACCTGGACCCAGGCGGCCCTGCGGGCCTGGCACAGCCTTGCAGGGAGCAGGGACGGAGCCGGGGCGCAGCAGCCAGACGGCAGGACCCCCGAGAGCGGGGCAGGGTCTCCGTGGTTTGTTCCGAGCTCACCCTGGTGGCAGACCTGGGTGCTGAACTGGGAGCAATGGGGCCCAGGCAGGGGGCTCAGGGGATGCTGGGGTACGAGAAGCAAGCAGAGTGAGGGACCAAGGGATGTGGCCTGCTGGCAGGAGGGACTAGGCGTGGGGACAGGGTGGCATAAGCAGGGCAAGCGACACGAACCAGAGGAGCCAATTAGTAAAGGTGCAGGGGGCAGCCCGGGTGGCTCAGCAGCTTAGCGCCGCCTTCGCCCAGGGCCTGATCCTGGAGACCCGAGCACGTCGGGCTCCCCGCACGGGGCCTGCTTCTCCCTCTCCTGTGTCTCTGCCTCTCTCTGTGTGTCTCTCATGAATAAATACATAAAACCTTTTTTTTTAAAAAAAAAAAAAACCTTTTAAATAAATAAAAAAAATAAAAATAAAGGTACAAAATTCAGCAGGCACAGAGGCCAGCTCGTCCCTGGGCAGCAGGCTGCTCCCCCGGGTCCCATGTGGGCACCCTCTGCTGCCTGTCACGCTTCCCTCCCCGGAGGCTGCCTTAGGCAGGGCCAGCGCACCGCCCGCGGCCCTCAGCTCCGGGGCCACGTGCCTTACTTTCCCTGCGACACCCAGCTTCCGGCGTCACCTGCTCTCTCCCCTTGCCCAGCCACCGAAAGGAAAGGAAGGTGTCCTGGGACCACCAGGGCTATTGGGGCGGCGGAGAGCAGGGGCCATACAAGGATCTGGGGGACACTGAGCAGGCCAACCAAAGGCCCTGAGGAGCAGCAGGTGGGGGTCAGGTGAGAGTCTGCAGGTGGGACCCCGGGGAACCTGGCTGGCTGTGTGGGGAGCCGTGGCACCTTGGGTGGCAGGACTGCATCCTAGATCAGAGGGTCCCCGAGAACAGAGAGCCAGGTATGATACAGCCCTACAGGTGGCCCCCTTCACCCTAGGCCCAAGACGCCGTAGCTCCGCAGAGCCTGGCGCAGACTCCTGCCCTGGGTGTCTGTCCAGATGCTAGGGCTGTGCGCCCCAGGGGACCCCTCCCGGTGAGATTTCTAGAGGAGGAGGAGGACACCCGCCCCCCCCCCCGACACCACCACCACCACCACCCCCCCCACCCCCCCCACGCCCCCCCCACCCCCCGACACCGCGTCCTCACAGCCTGGCCTACGCTGCCCCTTGACCTTGGAGGCCTCCCCGCCGTCGGGCGCTGTGGTTCCGGTGGCGGCCACCAGGCGGCGCCCGCGGCCCGGCCTCCGAGACCAGGAGGCGAGCAGCCGGCCGCGCAGCTGAGGCGTCCGGGCCCCGCCGAGCGCACCTGCCCTCCTGCCCTCGCGCTCGCGCACAGGTGGCCGCGGGGCCGACGGCCCGGCTCCCGCCCCAGCTGGCTGCCCGTGGGGCCTCCGCGCCCCGCCACCACGGAGGGTCAGGGCCGAGCGCTGTGGTTCTCGAAGCCTCTGCCGGGCCCTGGGGTTGGGGTGGGGGGACCGCCCGGGCCCAGGTGGCCCCACACCGCCAGGGTGGACCCCCACCGCCTGCAGGCAGGGGAGCCCGGGCTGCGAGTCCACGGCTCTGCGCAGGCCGGTGCCCCCTCCTGGGTAACCCTCACCTGGGTGCTGGCCCCTTGGGGCTCGGGTGGCTCTGGCCTTGGACAGACCCCCCTGCAGCTGGCAGGTCTCCACCTCCTCCTCCGCCCGCTGGGGGTCCAGGCCAGAGGGTGGAGGGAGAAAGCGGAGGAAAGCTGCAGAAGGAAGGAGCTCACCGGTGTGCCCGCCGGGTCTAGACAGGTGGGGTCACGGAAGGCCAGGGAGGGAGGGGACGGCTGGTCCTCCCCCTCCCTCTGCTTCCCCCTGGTGCTTCTGGGGCAGGACACTGTCATCAGTGTCCTCCAGAGGCCCCCCAGGGCCGTCCCGGGCTGCCAGGGTCCCCACACTGCACCCTGGGGTCAGCAGCAGGCAGGCTGGCCCCGGTGATGCTGTACCAGGCAAAGGTCACCTGTCACCAAGCAAGGCAGGCCTCTGGAGGCTGGCTTCAAGCTGCCCACAGCAGCCAGTGGGGGTGGGGAGGACGGCAGCAGCCCCAGCCCCATCACTTGCTCCCCTGGGCCCTGGCGGTGACCGGGGTACAGCTTGGGGCTGGGGGACCTTGACTCCTGGCCTCCAGCCTGGCCTCTCCATGGCAGTGGGCTCAGCCCACGGGAAGCCTCCTTGCCACAGCTCAGCCCGGGAGCAAGGCAGGCCCTCTTCCCGCCTCCTCCCCTGAGACCCCTGACGACCCCGACTCCGGCCTTGCCCGCGCCCCGGCTCAAGCCCATCCACTGCCCTCCATGCAGCCCCCTCTGCCCTGCCAAGGCCCTGCCCGGGAAGCTCCCCAGGGCCTCTCAGCGCCCCCGCCCCGCTCCCCACCCTGGAGCGCACCTGCCACGGCCTTATGCCCCTCACGCTGCAGAGGCCTGTAAGCCGGGCGCTGCTTGGCCCTCGGCTCGGGGCCTGACGGTGAAGGGGCCGCCCCGCCAGGAGCTCAGGCCGGGGCGCCCGGGCTGCTCAGCCGAAGCGAAGAAGCCTCTGCCTGGGGCTCAGGTCATGACCCCAGGGCTGGGATGGAGCCGTGGTCAAGCTCCCCGCTCAGCGGGGCACCTGGCCCTCTCCCTCCACTCCTCCCCCTGCTTGTGGCTGCTCGCTCTCTGTCTCTAATAAAATCTTTAAAAAAATTAAAAGGGCTCAGGTAGGGCCTTTCCCAGGGGCCTTGAGATTCAAACAGACAATAGCACTGCCCCCCAAGGACACAAGTGCTCCTGGAGGTCACAGCCATTGCGGCAGGTGTGGGGGGGCCTGCCACTTTGTGAGGGGGCTGTCCTGTTTTCATGCCCCTCCTGCTCCTCAGGAGCCAGCATGTGGATGAACTCAGGTGGGCTTGGGGATCCCTGGCCAGCCCTGTGTTGTCAGATGGAGAGACTGAGGCAGGGGACCAAGGGGCACAGCTGTGACCCTCAAAATGGGGGCCTGGGTGTCCTCCAGCAAGGGGCCCCAGCCCTGCCACCTGGCCCATCCTGCCGAGGTCCAGGGAGCCTGGCTCCCTGCCCTGATGGCCAGATTCCACCCTTTGACATCAGCTGACAACGGGAGTCAGGCTGGGCGGCCCTGGGCCCCAGGCCTCTCTGTGCGCCCCTGGCCTCGGAGACAGCCCAGCCCGAGACAGCAACCAGGGCGGCCGCCCCTCAGGGTCCCTGGCCCACTGTTGCCCACGAGGAGCCCTGGGGGTGGCAGCAGCCATGGTGTGGAAGGAGCCCAGCAGGTCCCAAAGCCTCCCAGAGGCGGACCTCACCTGAATTCAGGGCCACTCGTGTCGTGTCCTCCCTTTAGATCAGTGTCCCCCAAGGTCTAGGCTAGCAGAGCCCCCTCCTCTCCTTGCCACCATCAGCAAGCAGATGAGGGGAGGCGGGCCCCTGCCCCACTGCTGAAGCCCAGCTCTGGGCTTCCTGGCCCCGAGGAGCCCAGGCGGGTCTCGCCGCTGCAGCTCTGCACTGACATCTTGCCTCCCACTTCTCCTGGGGGTGAACACAAAGCTCTTGGGGACTCCAACGCAGCGGTGCCACCGAGCGCCTCATGTGGCTGTGCATGTGTGTGCGCGTGCCCGCGTGCCCATGTGTGCCTTGTGTGTGTGTGTGTGTGTGTGTGTGTGACAAAGTGGGACACAGGCATTCTTCCATGGCCCCCCAGCAGACGGTGGGCGGGCAAGGGGCCTGGGGGCAGGGGGTGGGACACTGGGGGCAGCCCTGCCTGGGGACGCCTGGCGGTGTCCTGGGATTGGCCCAGGAGGAGGTCCGCGCCACAGGCAGCGCCATGGCAACGGTGCACAAAGCGGTGGCCTACTTACACCCGCCCCCGCGGGCTGGCTCCCGGCTCCAGGAGGGGGTGCAGGGCTCTCGGCCTCCTGGGGCCGCGTGCCCTGGCCTTGGGGGGCTCGGCGCCCTAGTCGCCTCGGCCTCCTCCAGGCCTGCAGCCCAATCAGGGTGCGGGCCCAGCCCCTGGGCATTCAGTTTCCTGTTCCATAAAGGGGAGGGGTCAGCCATGCCCGGCGCCGGGGAGCACTCACGGGGAAGCTCCCTCCATCTCTGGGGGGGCTGTGGCCTCAGGGGTTGCTAAAGACCTTGGAGCCCCGGCGCCCTGCAACTCAGGGCTCTCTGTGCTGCCAAGTTCTCTGTAGGCCAACCTAAGGCCTCAGGCCAAGGCCCCCCCACGTGGGAGGGGGCAACTGGCAGCACTGAGGGCAGGGCCCTGAGCTGCTCATACATCCCCTCATGGGACAGGACCCCAGGAGGGCCGGTGGCCTTCACTCTCGCAGAAAGCTTCTCAGCCTCTGTCATTGGCATAGCCGGGACACCAGGGCCAGACTCCACTCAGGGCAGGCGGGACAGGTGGGGGGGTGGGGAGGGGCGACACACATCATGCTTTGAAGGAGCCCCCCTGGGCTTGACCTGAAGCCCTGCTGACGCCACCAGCCCGTGCCTGCCTCCTGGACTCAACCTGACCCCCGAGGGCAGCTCCAGGCCCACCTCCTCCACCTGCAGGGCGCCTGCCTGGCTTGGAGCTACTGCGACGGGGACAAGTGTTTCCAATGCCAGGGAGGCTGAGCAAGTTGCCAGAGGAGACCCGGTGCATCCATGCGGCAGTGTGACCTGTGCTGGCTGAGTCCTGTGACCTCCACGTGGCTCTGCTGCCATTGGCCACCCTGGACCCCCCCAGGCCTGGCAGGCCTCACACAGAGTCATCTCTGGGGCAGGGGCAGTGCCCCAAGCAGGGAGGGCTAAGGCCCAATAAGGCTTCGAGGGCACTTTGTGGAGCATCGGGGCCCTGGGGACAGGAAGCCCTGGGCCTCACGGGGTGGATGTCACAAGACACCACTCAGCTAAAACCAAATGTTTTCCTAACCTCACCTGCCGAGCTGGCCAGGCCGAGGGGCCGCCATGTGACCTCAGGCCTGGGCTCCTGCAGACCCCGGACGCCCACAGATAGGCAGCTCCGCAGCCCCAGCCCTGGGACCCGTGTGTCCCAACTGCCCCTGGGGACCAGGGTCCCTGGCGGGCAGACACAGGCACACGCCCTAGGTGTCCCCAGCCAGCGGGGGCCACCACAGGAAGACTGAATGGAGGAGGCTGGGGGGAGGGTGGCGCCGGGGTGCGGTGGGGGGGGCCGTGTGCCCACCCCGCCCGGCGCCAGCTGCAGCTGCCTCCCCTCCTCCACCTCAGGCCCCCTAATTTATGCCAAGAGGGGGGCCGCCACTCACTCGTTCCCGCCTGGCAGTGGCTTTGTCCCCAGGCGGGTTCCCAACGGCCGCCTTTGGGAAGAAAGGGCCCTTCTCTGGCCGGCAGTGAGGTCACCAGGAGGGGCCGGACGCGCACAAAGGCCGTGGCCCCCCCACCGGGCCCGCCGGCAGCTGTCTCTTTGTCCCCAGCTCTCAGCCTAAAAGAGACCCCAAGGGGGCCCCAGCTCAGCCTAGGCCGGGCCTGGCCTTCCTCCTCCGGGCCTGGCCTTCCTCCTCCTCGGAAAGCCGGTGGAGTGGGGGAGGGGACGGGAGTCTCCTCCCCTGCTCCCCGCTGGGCTCCCGATGAGTGACAGCACCACTTGAGGCGCAGACCCCACCCCGAGTGCCATGGGGGGGAGGGGGTCTGTGTCTAGGTGTCCCCCAGACAGACAGGCAAGTAGGCTGCAGGGCGGGGGCTGCAGGAAGGCAAGGGAGCTGGGGACCCTTGGGCGGCTCAACGGTCTAGCACCGGCCTTTGGGCCCAGGGCATGATCCTGGGGTTCTGGGATCGAGTCCCCCATCGGGCTCCCTGCATGGAGCCTGCTTCTCCCTCTGCCTGTGTCTCTGCCTCTCTCTCTCCCTCTCTCTCTGTGTGACTATCATAAATAAATAAAAATTAAAAAAAAAAAAAATAAAAAAAAAAATAAAAAAAAAAAATAAAAAAAAAAAGGAAGGCGAGGGCGCCTGAGGTGTTAGGAGGCAACCCCCTCCGGCACCCCCAGAGAGGGGCAAGCAGCTAGGCCCCCCACCTGGCTGGGGGGGCGGCCGGGGGCTTAGTCACGGGGGCAGGGGGGCTCGTGCCAATGCTCCTTGCACTCCCTGCAACCCCGCCCCTGAACCCAGCTTCTCCGCAGATCGCGTGACACCTGGCTTGTGTGTGTATTTGCTGTGTGTGTGTGCACGCGCGTGGGGTGAGAGGGGCTGGCGCCTCGGCCGGTCTCTCCGGGCTGAGGAGATGGGGGAGCCCTGGAGGCAGGGCCCCAGGGGCAGGAGGCGCGGCTGGGGGAGTTGTGTGGGCAAAGCCTGGTGGCCCGACCCAGGAGTTCAGGAAGGGCTGTGGGGGGGCGGGACACGTGGACCTCCCTGCCTGGCCTGCTGAGCTCTCCCCCACCCCCACCCCCGCCAGCTGGTGGCACTTGGGCCCAGAGCTCCTTAGCAGTCTCTCGGCGGACGGAGGAAGTGGAGCCTGAAGGGAGCAAAACAAAAGCCGGCGGCTGTCCCACTGTCCCAGACAAACCGCGGCCCGGCTGGGGGGACAGCCGCTGGGGCCGGGCCTGCCAGACGTGGCTGCAAGCAGGCGGGCCCCTGGCCAGACTCCAGTGGGGGCGCCAGGCCCAGGGGCTGGGGTCCCACCGAAAGCTGGGAGATCTGCCCAGGACCCCCCCAAGCCCCTGCATCTGGCCTGCGGGGTCCCACCCGGAGGCGCGAGCAGAGAGGCGGGGCGGGGGCCGGGGCAGGCAGGGAGGGCTGGGCAAGCCGAGGCCGGGGGGCCGCCGGGCGAGCGTGGGGCGCGGGGAGGAGGCTGCACTTCACCCCGAGGGGCCAGGCAGCCGGGGCGGGGTTTGTCTGGGACAAACCTGGGAAAGCGCTCCTGCCCGTCGCCTAGCGCCCGGAATGTCCATTGTGCCTGTAGCCTAGCAACACGCCCGCTCCGCCGCCCAGCCCGCCGCATTCCTGGGCGCCGGCTCCCGAGGCCCCAGGCCCCGTGGGTCTCCCGAGGCCACGTGGGTCCCCGCTCGCCCCTGGGTCCGGGGTCCAGGTCCGGGGCTGTGGCCGCTGCTCCCGCCACGTGCCACCTACCTGCTCTGCTGCCGCCGCTCAAACCACAGAAAGTCCACGGTCACACCTTGTTGGCCGCTTGGGTCCCACTTAGGTCCCCTTTCTCGCAAATGTGAGGACGGCAGCCCATGGGGGGTGGGATGGACACGGGGAAGAGGTGCGGGTCGCACGGGACTCCTGGATCACGATGTCACACGGTGCTGTGCAGCGCCTGCCAATGACACTGCAATAAGAGGGATTTCCGAGACGTTTTCTGGGGGACAAGATGGGCCCTTTGGAGGCAGTGGGGCAAGGGCACAGGGGCGCAGGGCTGAGGGGAGGGTCTAGGAGGAGAAGGGGGGGTCATTTGGAGCTGGAGAGGCCAGGGGAGAGGCTGCCCCCAAGCACCCGGGGAGCAATGGGACAGAGCCTCCTCTGGGGCCGAGCTGAGGGGCCCTGCTGCCCCAGCTCCCTGCCCTCCCCACCTCCACGCTGGGGCTACTCTGTGGGCCAGCCTCCACCCCAGCAAACCCACCTCGGGGTCCCCGGCCCCTGGGACCTTGAGGAGCAGAGACTGGATGGCTCCCGGTTGCCCTGCCGCAGCCTGCCTGCTGCTCTGCCACCCGCCCCACAGTGGAGACCTGCTGGCCGCCCCCCCCACCCCCACCCCTTCCCAACGCCCAAAACCCAGGCCCTGACTTAAGAGGAGCCTGTTGGCCGGGGGAGGGGAGGCCAAAGAAGAGCCGGGCAGGGGCTTCTGACATCCTCCTGCTGCCTGGAGAGGCTAGAGCAAATAAAAGGTTGAACCGGCCTGGAGCATTTTTCCTTTTAAAAAAAAAAAATGTACTATGGAAAATGTCAGGGAAATGCAGAAGCCGGGAAAATGCACAGCCTCCAGGTCCAAGGAGTGCCCGGGCTGCATCCCTCCCTCCCGCCTCCTCTCCCCTCACCCTCACCACAGTCCCGCGAGGCCGGTTCCCATTTCACAGTGTCATCAACTCGCCTAAAAACGTTGTCATTCCTTAAACCCACGAAATATCCAGTCAAGGCCTCCCATTTCCCGAATGTCTCATTTTGCAAAATGAACTCTTTGGTTTGTTCAAGTCGGGACTTGAAGGGGTCTGTGTGCAGCTCGTGCTCAGGAGCCAGCGGGGAGCCAGCGGGGAGCCAGCGGGGAGCCTCTGGAGACACTAATCTCCAGAGTAGGATTTGGGGACTCGACACAAACATTCCAGCCAGGCCAACGTGAAATTAAGCTCTAATTGACAACAGCATGGCTCTGGAGAGTGAGGTAGATGGTGCTGGAAGCCTCCATGGAGTTGGCCGAGCTCAAGATGTGCTCGGTTTTTTAAGAAATAAAAGAAGGAAGGACAGTTTGAGGGACACCAGGTCCTCCAATGTGCATTTCCAGGAGCCCCCCCCCCCCGGGGGTGCTGATGTGGCTGGTCCAGGGGTCAGGATGTGATGGTTCCTGGACACACCTGTGGCCAAAAGTTAGGCTTGGTTCTGCCGCGGGGAACACGCGACCCGGCTTGAAGGTCTGGCCAGCAGAGAGGGCCGAAGCCTGGCCCTGGAAGGTCCTTCTGCCTCCCAGGGATGACACATCCGACGTCACTCCAGAGACAGGAAGTCAGGAAGGGCTGCTGACCCTCGGGTCGTGTCAGAGTGAAGGCCACTCAAGCATTTCTTATTCCCCCAAAATGCCTGTTTGAGCTCAGACATTCCTGTCCATGTCCTGTCCCAGCACACAGTGATTTCTGTCTCTCACTTGGGCGCCCGGACCTTGGGTCCCTGCTCGGCTGCGGGGACAGGCTGGGAGGGACCCAAGGGCCGAGAGGCCAAAGGTCCTCCTGGGCCAGGTGCTGGGGGTCTGGCACACAAGGAGGCCTTATGGGGGAGTGTGGGGAGGGCTGAGTGGGGCCGGATTCGGGGGAAAAGGGCTGCTATGCCACGTTGGGCTTGAGGAGCAGGACACCTGGGCCTGAGGGCTTGGAGACACAGGAGCCCCTAGAATCCTCCACCACCACCGCCCGCCCCGCCTTTATCCAGCACAGAAGGGAGGAGGGCCGTGCACAGGGTCAGAGGGGGGCCAAGCTGGGCCAGAGAGCAGAGAGCAGGCCGGGGGCAGAGCTCGGGTGCTGGGGAGAGCGGGGCGGGGGGCAGGGGGGAGTGCTGGGGGGAGCGGCAGGTGTGCAGGGGGCTGCACAAGAGGGGGTGGTGCAGGGCCCACCCAGGAACACTCTCCTCCCCACCCGGCCCCTTGGCTTCTTCTACAAATGGGCCCACACCCAGCCTGTCCCCCTTTGAAGGGACAGATGTCAGGGAGAAAGCTGATTACCACTGTCAAAGGCTGGAGGCTGTGACCGGAGCGCGGTGAGCATGACCCAGTTCCGAGCTATTCTCAGCGCGGTGGGAGCCGAGTTATTCCCTCCCGCCAACGCTGCTGCTCCAGGCTGCCTGACTTTGAAATGCCCTCCTCCCGGCGGGAGCCCCGGTCCCACGCCCTGCTCCCCAGGCCGGCTGCACCCAGACCTCAGGGTCCCCTCCCCTCCCGGACGGGAGGACAGGCCGCGTGACCCGAGGCTCGGACGTGCCCGCCTGCCGGCCGGCCCCTCCTGTGCCTGAGCCAGAGGCCACGACAGAGCCGGGCGCGGGGCGCAGAGCAGCGGGGCGGCGGCGAGGTCACGGCGGGGAGGTCGCGGGCGCGAGGTCACGGCGGCTCAGCCCCACGGGCCAACAGGCCCGGCTGAGGTCGGAGAGCGGCCAAGCCACAGATCTGAGAGCGAAGTGGGGGCCGCTACCCGCCAGCCCCAGGCACCCTGGGATGGGGCAGGTGCTTGTTTGCAGCTCGGGGTGCCAGCTAAGCCACACACCCACCTCCCAAGTGGGAGGTCCACGAAGTGCCGCGGCCCAGGCCAGCCTGAGGTTCTCGCTGTTCTGTTTTATTACACAATTAACTATAAGCACAGTGAGCGGATGAGCTGGATTTTCAATGTCAAATCTTCTCTCCTGTTATCCCGATAAACTAGTCAAGCACCCTGGGCGCAGAAACTTATTCGAAGGCCTCAAACTGCAAACGACATTCTCAGATGGACCCAGGGGCGGCCCCAAAAGTTTGGCCTTGGAATCTGAAAGAGACACTGAGGGCTTCCTGGAGGTGGTGTCAGCAGTAGCTCCCATTGGTGATAACAATCACAGAGAAGGTCTAGAGCCTGGCTGGCTCAGTGGGAACGGAGTGTGACTCTTGATCTCTGGGTCATGAGTTTGAGCCCCATGATTAGTATAGAGATTATTTTATTTTATTATTTTTTTTCGCTTTTTTTTTTAAATTTACTTATGATAGTCACAAAGAGAGAGAGAGAGAGAGAGAGAGAGAGAGAGAGAGAGAGAGAGGCAGAGACACAGGCAGAGGGAGAAGCAGGCTCCATGCACCGGGAGCCCGACGTGGGATTCGATCCCGGGTCTCCAGGATCGCGCCCTGGGCCAAAGACAGGCGCCAAACTGCTGCGCCACCCAGGGATCCCTAGAGATCATTTAAAAAAAAATAGATTTTACCTTAAAAAAAATATCAGAGGGCACCTGGGTGGCTCAGCGGTTGAGAGTCTGCCTTCAGCCCAGTCTGCCTTCAGCCTTCAGCGTGATCCTGGGGTCGGGGATCGAGTCCCACATCGGGCTCCCTGCATGGAGCCTGCTTCTCCCTTTGCCTCTGTCTCTCTCTCTGTGTCTCTCATGAATAAATAAGTAAAATCTAAAAAAAAAAAAAAAAAAAATTAGAAATGTTCTGAGCCCCGACTGGGCAAATGCTGACCTGATAATTTCGTGGCGGCTCCTCCCCACCCCCACCCCAGGGCAGGCACTGTGTTCATCCTCATCCCTGCCAGAAGGAGGGAGGTGACTTGTCACCATGGCACCAGAGGGAGGACAGGGAGCAGGCAGGCTCAGAGCCCCAGCCTTTAAGCGCTTGCACCCCCCCCAGTGGAGGGCAGAGCAAGTCCGGCGGCTGAGGCTCAAGTCCAAATCCCTCGCCCGCTGGGACTGCAGGGGCCACCTGCTGGCAAGGCCATCGTAAATGTCCCAACCCCCACCTCCACCCAGAGCCTAACCCCCTTCTCTTGCTTTGCTTCCTCTGGGCACTTCTCACCTGCACTGTCTGGGCCAGTTCCCGGGAGCTCCTCAAGGGCAGGCCGGGCGGCCCTGGACACCTGGGTCCCCAGCACCAGGAGGGCATGCACAGAGGGAGGGCTTGGTCCTCCCCGGCTGGACAGGGAGCACCCCGCGGGGCTGGAAGAAGGCACAGTGGCCCCCACCTGGATGGGGAGCTGAGCCCGGCACCTGAGGCCCCGCCAGGAGGCAGGGTCGCCCCAGGCTGCAGTGGGAGCCCCTGGGGCGGCCTGTGCCCAGGGCAGCCGTGCAGACGGGGCGGTGGCTCCCAGCTGGGCAGACAGGCGCCTGCCCTGTGCGGTGTTCTGGGGGGGTGGGGGCACCTCCTCCCCATCGTCCAGCGTCCACCAGCCCTCGCGGCCCCTGTGTGGCTGCCCCTCTTCCCCCTTAGAAGCCTTCCAGGCTCATGGCAGAAAACAGCCCCCCCCCCCCCCCCGTGGGCAGGCGGAAACCGGAGGCCTGGCGAGTCTTACTTCCTCTGGGACTCGGTTTCTCCACCTGCGCAGTGAGCCAGGGCGCGGCAGAGACGACACCCTCTCCCAGGGCCCGGGGTCCCGCACAGACCCCCTGCCCGCCCACGGCAGCGGGTTGGAGGCCGTGGGGGGTTGCTGGCTGCAGGTCTAGGCAGCAGGGTGACGGGGCAGGCACAGGGGAAGCGCACCGCGGCGCTGTCGTGGAGCAAACAGCCCTTCCTGGTCACAGTCCTAGGCAGGGGGTGGCCCCCAGGGGCCTGGCATCGGCTATGCCACCCACCACCCGGCCCACGCGGCCCCCTGGGCAGGAGCAGATGGCGCACAGCGAGGGCTGAGGAGGGTGAGGCCTAGGCGCTTCCTGGGGACCCGAGCCACCCCCACGGACGCACAGGTGGACTCGAACCCTGTCCATACGGCAGGATCCTGGGCTTCGACCCTCGGAGCAGCTGAGCCGGGGTCCCTCGGCCTTCAGGGGGGCAGCAGTGGAGGTGGTCAGGGGCGAGACACCTCGACTCCTTGGGCAGGGGCAGGGTGGGTGCAGGAATTTCCAGGAAAAAGCGGTCACAGGGAGCGTCTGGGTGAATCCTTGCCCTGTGACAGCCCCATGCTGCTGACTCGCAGATGACGGGCCCTGACCTGCTGACCACTCACTCACCACGGGCCCTGGCGCTGCCTCTGGACGCCAGGCTCCCTTCTGCAGAGGACCCTAGGCCGAGCAGGAAGCTCCTGGGGACATGAGTGCGGTCTTAGGGGGTGCACAGGGGTGGGGGTGGGGTTCAAGACCACATGGAGCTCCAGGCGGAGGCTGGACGGGGCCTGGACGGCTACCTGGGGCAAGGCTGACGCGGGGGGCGGGAGGGAGCCGGCTGTGAGGGGCCTGGGCTGAAGAGCCGCCCTGTGCTGGGTGCAGGGCTCCTGACCCCAGCCCTCCAGCTCCCACAGGCCCAGGGACAGCCCAGGGCTCCGTCCTCAGCCCCATGCATTAGCTGGGGCACACTCAGGAGGGCCTATGTGCCCTGTAGAGCATGGAGGGTTGTGCCCGCATCAGATGTCCTGCAGGCCTCTCTCCAAGGCCAGGGTGAGGCACAGGTCCCTCCTCTGCCCCCCAAGCTAGGCATTTGCTCAGAGGTCAGGACAGGCCCAGGGACCGAGGAACCGTGATGGTGCTCAGAGCTTGCCAGGAGTCTGGGTGGGAGAGGGGAGGGGAGGCCCCCGGAATCGTCCTTCAGTAGGCCCACCGGACGCCGGCCTTTTCCAAGGATCCCAGGCCTGGATGTGGCCTTGGGCTGGACGGCAGGCCTAGGGGAGGGGAGCTCTTCCGAAGTTCAAGACCCTGCAGGAAGCACAAGAGGCTGCCCGTGGTGTGAATGAATGCAGGGCCAAGCTAGGGTGTGAAGGGGGTGTCCAGTGCTCTGGGACAGATGGATAGACGGAGACGGACACACACACGCATGCACGCAGACCCTCCTCCTCCCCCACTAGGACAAGTGGCCCTTTCTGCAGCTGAGTAGGGTGGCCACACACTTGCCCCTTTGTCCACCATGTCCCAGGCTATTATCCTGGAGTCCAGAGCCCCTGGGACAGGGACAGGAAGCAGGGGCCAGGGCTGTGTGGGAAGGTCCAGCCTGGACACTGTTGTTGGGAACAAGACTGGCTTGAGGGCACCACAGAGACCAGTTAGCACGGCAGAGGAACAGTGTTTATTTCTCTGCCAGGCATGGTCAGGAGCCAGCCCTGTGCCAGCACAGTCCCCTGGGGCTCTTGTCCAAACGTGGGAAAACCAAGGCTCTCGATGACAGGTGAGGCCAAAGACAGACACTCAGGCCCTTCAGGAGTCGCAGCAGGCAGGGATGCCAGCCACTCAGCGCCCAGCTGGGGACCAGGGCGGGACAAGCGGCATCTGTCCCCAGCCCTAAAGTAGCTGCCCTCCGTCCTGGATGCACCCTCATGACCCCAGGGCTCCTGTGACAGGCAGGGGCACCCAAGTAGCTCTGGGGCTGTTTGAACATCCGGGGTTCAAAGAGCTCTGAAAGGGATTGGCCGAGTCACTGGAAGCACTTCACTGTCCCCCTCAGGGTCCTGGCTATGTGACGCTATGTTCTCACTGAGATGCCAGGGGCTGTGGCTGGACCAGGGCCACGGAAGGCACTTCCCAGGGACAGAAGCGAGGCAGATGGGCAGGGCTGCCCTGGGCCCGACTCTGATAGGAGGGGATGCAGGACGCTTCCCCTTGACCTGTATGGCCCCTAACAGGGTGGGTTAGGCCTGAGGCCACACAGCAAGAGCACTTCCCCTGGCTGCTGGCCAGCCAGGCAGCCCTGGCTCTCAGGGGCAGGGGGGCCAGGGCCCACCCCCTGAGACTAAAGTGGGAACACCATCAGGCCCCTGGTCCTCCCCGTCTAAGTCCTTGCTTCCCCGCCTCCCTGCCATTTTGGGGCCACCTGGGAAGGCGTCAGACCTGGGCCCCACCACCTACACCCCTCAGTTCAACAGGCAGAAGAGCTTGCTACAACGGAGACAGTGTGTGGCAACGACCAGCAGAACGGACACTGAGCACAGCAGGGAGTCGGGCAGGAGGCGGTCCTCCCTGGGGACCGGAGGGGCTGGAGCTGGCTGGCCCTGCCCCCGTTCCTCTGCCATGGCCGTCCCCCTGGGCCCGCCCCGGGGCCCGCCCCGCGCATTTCTAAACACAGGCCCCGGCGGGAGTCCGCTGACCATATAAGGCGGCCTCTGGCTGGGCCGCATCTCCCTGGCCCAGCTCCACAGCGCTCCCGCCCCCCGGGGGCTCCTGGCGGGAGGCCTCCTAGCCCGGGGTCTTGGTGGCAAAGGTCAGGTAGCCAGTGTGGCCCACGGCCTCCTTCATGGGCGTGCCGCTGCGGAAGGGGCTGGCGTCAGGGCTGGCCTCGGGGCCCAGGCTGGCTCCCAAGTCGGGTGCAGGCAGGCTGACGGTACGCACGTTGTACACCTGGGGCAGCACCTCCAGGGTGCTCAGTTCTGAGAAGCCTCGAGCTGCCAGCGCCTGGCACGTGCGCTGGACTTGCTCGATGCACGGCGAGAAGGAGCAGAAGCGCCCACCTGTGGGGAGCCAGACATGGGGTCAGAGGGCAGGAGGGTGCAGGAGCCAGCTGAGGGCTGGGGATTGCAGGGGGGAGGTGAGGCCCCCTCCAGTCCCCCCGGGGAGACAGGCATGGGTAAAAACTGTGGTGGGGCTGTGGGTGCCGGCCAAGGTCCTGGAGGCTGGCCATGCCCTCAGGCACATAGGGCCGGACCCCAGGGTGGAGGAGAGGGCAGGGGCTGGAGGGACAGGAGCTCTCCTCGAGCCATGTGGAAGGGACCACTCAGGCCAAGCCCGCTACCCCGATTTCAGCTGGCCTTGGGCAGGTATTGCCACCTTCCACTTCTACAGGGACGAACAACCAGGTGGGGGTCAGGGTGGAGCCTTGGCCCGGCAGCCGCCCAAGCACTGTGCCCAGAGCAGCTCTAACCATACAGCGCAGTGGCGGTGGGGGCTGCGGCTGTCACAGGAAATTAGAGGCTGTCACCTGCTCTGGGAACAGGAGGCGCCTACTCTGAGCAGAGCCTGACGGCCAAGGATGACAGGGTGCGGGCGGGAGCTGACAGGCCCTTCCTGCCACCTCCCACCAGGGCCCACCCGCAGTGTCCCTCAGCCTGGCCTCTGTCCAGCCCACGTGCCTGTCCTGGCAGGGTGTGGGGAAGCCGAGGCAGGGGAAGGACGTGGCGGGCCAAGTCCTGGAATGCCCCAGAGACCTGGTCACCCCTGCCACACCCGGGGACACTGAGCCCCAGACAGGTCTTGAGGAAGGCGTGGGCTTGCAGGTGGCACGAGCAGGGTGGTCCCCAGGAAGGGACCTGACCCCCTGTGTACTCCTAGGAAAACAGGCCCCACCGGGTGAGGGCCAAAGCCTGGGAACCACGCTTCATGGCGGTCAGGCTCACAGAGCAGGCGGGTGAGCCCACAGAAGACGGGAATCTCTGGGGCCAGAACCAGCAGACCCAGGGAGAGCCCGAAGGAGGGGCTTGGAGGAGCCTAGGGGCTGGGGGAGGCAGA